GTGTATACATAAATGAAGGAAATAGCCTTGAATTAATTCAAATAATACTAAACTGTTTCATGACTTGTTGAAAAAGATTTGGACAACAATCCTCTTGCCGTCTGGCAGTGAAGCGGATCAGAAATTATACAGATTGCGGTTGAATACATTTTAAGAAACTAGTCGTGGTTATTGAATCTTCAAAAAAATTGACGCCAACAGAACGATCATCTGCACTGTTTTCAGCGATGTGAAATTAAAACGTATTGATGAAGTATATTCACACAACGCCGATCAAATCGTGTACAAAATAGTCAAACAACTTTAAAGCATCAAACAATAACATGCGTGTCGACATTACAATTGCGTTAGGAATACATTTTCAAAAGTAATTTTCTAGAGCATAGCACCATGGTACGGACCATCTTTATTGAATCAGGGAGTTGTTCCTTGAAGTTATTCAAAAGATACGAAGCGGTTCGTGTCTTGTTTAAAAAAAAAATGATCTTCTTGCTGTGAGGCAATTCATGATGTATGTCAAAATATTAAAATATCAATAATATATACTGTATATATATATATATAAATATATATATATGTATATATATATATGTATATATATATATATATACATATATTCCATTATTATGGAATAATAATATAATGTAATTTAATTTAATAATTTAATTTGGTGTTGAGTATGTGTTTCATACATAATGAAAAACATACATGATGGAACCAGTGGTTCGAAACAGATTGTTTACCACCTCCCGATGCTACAATGTAGATTGCAACAATAGAAATCCTGATAATTTCACTTATAAATACTTGCTTAATCTTGAAAATGTTGTAGTTAATGTTTATAAATTAAAAAAAAGAATCCAAACCCCCGTAGCCCCATCCCGTCCCTTTTTCATCCACACCATTACAAAACACTCTCTCCATCAAGGCTTGACGAATAAAACACTTCTTATGTCTACTAAATTCATCAGAACAACGGGAATGCCATAATAAGTACATAGATTCTTTAGCTTTATAAGGGTATAACCAATTTTCCCTGGGGTATCACTAATTAACTCCCTGGGGTATCGACTTAAAAATAGAAGATCTCTGTTGCCCAACCTATTTCCAACAAACCGTAGAAAATTTCATCGCAATAGCTCAATGGGAACTGTGTGTTGCTAAGGAGTTTCTTTGACTGCTGCTATGATTTTTCTTCAATTTCTTCAGTAGGCCTATTTTTAAAGCCCTTTTGCTCAAAACTTTATAGGCCAGTTATAATTCAAAATAGCTTAACTTTACACATAATTGTCCGATTAAGGTCAATGACCCCTTATTATAAAGTTAATGATGTGCTCTATTCATTTATATTAAAATCCCATTTTGATAGAGTACGAGTTTACAGCCCTTTTGTGGTCTTGGGTCACATATTAGTGTTGAAGTATGCAAGGCAGAAATATTAAGGTTAAACCCAGCTGGCGAATGAACACCTATTGCCATAAAACTGATCAATTGTATGTTAGGTTCATGAAACCAAAGATGATCTGTGATGAAAATGACTGACACTTTGGAATGTCATGACAACTCTATTTAAGAGGTCGTTTAAGGTCATTTGAGGTCAAACTGAGGTTAAATGTACCGTATATTTGGCCTAGTATGTTCAATAGACCAAATTGCAACTTTTTTTTCTCTAAATGAACACATATAATAAGGAGTTCACAATTTCTGAAAATCGCATGTTGGTCCACTATATTCATATATAGATTAGCATAAAAATGCCAATTGGGGCTGAAATATATGGCCTTCATAACTTGGAAACCATAATCACAAAAACGTTGATTTATTTTTCAAAGTTATCAGAATCTGCATGTTTCTGTTCGCTCTAATGAAACATTTTGCCATAATGACATTTCTCGAGTGTCACCTGACTAATAAAAACGTGCTATTTAATAGGCAGTACTCGCATGTTACGCAAACATACAAGCACGTACATATAATTATTATGTTACTATTCTGTGGGACGTTGCTGTATCAGGAATAAAATGTTTTAATGATTTATACTTACAAAAAACGCTTTTAGGATTGTATGTAAAGTCAACTATTATCATAAATGCCTTTATTTATATCTATTAGATCTCTAAATATTTTGGCAAGCACTGTAAATCCATCGTTACCTTTATATAATGTTAATAATACTTTGCAATGACCATCTAACAACAAATAGGAGACAACTCTTGGACTAAAGCTAAGCTGTATTAAACAATCGTCAAATTTACATTTATTTAAGAGAAGTATAATTGACTATTTTATTTTTAAAAAATCTCCCAATATTTCATCTCCAAGCCCATATATTTATTTTAAGTACTTATCATGTGAAATACAATACTGTATATATTATTTTTGTGTTTCTTATTATTTATTTGTTCCTTTTTAGGTACTTTTTCTATTTTATCTTAATTATTGTTATTATACGATATATATACAATGGCTCGTGGGCACTATAAAGAACCCAGTACATCCTTCGAGACGAGTAGGGGGATACCCCGGTGTACTGGAACAGACAGCCCCTGTGGTGGACGACGAGAGTTGCTGGTACCGGGTTACCGGGTAGCACAGACACGAAGGGACCCTTATGGGCGAAGAAAATCATTGATCGAGTTCCTAGTCCACACATCCCATCAAGCGCCATGAACATCTTATATTAGATGGATATGTGCGCTATATAAAACTACACTATTATTATTATTATTATTATTATTATTATTATTATTATTATTATTATTATTATTATTATTATTATTATTATTATATATATACACTTATACATATACACACTATAATATGTTTAATACAATTTTTTACTGATTATTATATTTACCTCGTCTGCATGTCCGACCGCCGAATCCTAATGGACAGTCACAAAAGCCGTCTTTACCATCTTCCGTACAGACACCACCGTTTTCACAGTGTAGATCACAGCCTCCCACTGTAAAAAGAGAATTATAAAACTGAATTTTAGTCAAAGATTGAAATTACGTAAAAATAATTTGATAATGTGGACAGAGCTTTTGGCTTATGTTTTAGTGATCTGGTTAAAGACAATAGGATTATTCGATTGGTTTAATTCTTTTACTACGATTTTTCGTTGAGTATTATTTTCAATCGACTGGTTTGTAAAATAGACTTCGTTGACAGAAATTTAACGTAACCAGAGTTCGTTAATAGGGAGTTTTCGAAGCACGACGTTAAACTTAACGTTAACGTTAGTACCCAACGTGCAGCGCGAAAGCTCCGCCCCTTTTGTAATTAACAAATCGAAATACGCATGCGCAAACCCGTAACTAACGTACGTCGAGCACGTAAAATCCTGAAATTAACGGTCTCGGCAACGCAAGATGAATAAATTATGACGTCATCCATTAAAGTTAAGGTTAACGTCGTGCATTGAAAACTCCCTAACTATGTAACCATTTTGTTTTGTCGTGTATATACAAGTTTTCTATTCCATTGGTCGTAAATAGGATTTTACAACTGCGTAGGTGGGCGTGGTTTAACGAAGAATGACCAGTCGAATACGGCCATTGATTAGTTTGATTGGGGCATGAAGACACAATTTCCTCTTCCCAAGTATAGTCCTGTAGTAAAATAAGTGAAATATCTCGAACATCGCTCTTCATAAGGTTACAATATTATAACTTGAAGTTGGCAGAATGGTTTATCAAAAAAATTGTCAAAAAAATGTTGCTAAAATTGTATTGGTAAACGTTTTATACAATCATTCTTTTGGTTCTGGTTTCAGAGTAAAGCCAGTCTCCTAGGGTACAAGGTACAGGAGTGGCAGAACAAAATGTCAATATAGGCCTAGGCAAGAAGATATATATTTAATATGCACACTTTTGAATTAATATGATAACATGTCTAATCGAGCAAAATGGTCTTTGTTTGGACAAAGTTTAAAGAAGATCCAAGCAGAGAATGTCACCTCATTGTTTGACGCCATTTAAGGTCGGCAGGCAAAAAATATTAATTTGCAAATTCAATTAAAATTATTGAGATTGCAATTGATAATGAGGTCAAAAGCATTTATTTTTGCCTAAAAATCTCTTTCATTCTTCTTATCGAGTCCAGGTACTATATATGTCCTAGCCATATCAGGACTCACTTCTCTGCCTTACAGCTGTAGCAGGCAAGGTCTGTGGTGGTGGTCTCCTCTAATTTACTGCATTTCAAGTGGTAATGCATGCACAAATTGTGAACTCAGTGGAATAACTCAATTTATGTAGGGTGACTTTGGAGAGGCCCACTCGACCAGTCCTTAGTCTGTTTAGACATTTCCAAGTGGCCTAGTTGTTGTTGGCTCCTGGAGGAAGGTCTTCAGTGAATGGGATTTCCATCACTAATGGTTGTGGAAGATTGGTGACTCTTTCATTCCGTAAGGCGATGCGAGCTTCAGAGGGTGTTGTTGATGTCTCCATTGTTCATGAAGCTCTTTCTTTACTTACGACTACTGGGTATATCTAAATGTCCCTGCAGAGGGTGCAGCTCTCATCTGATGCTTGCCGAAGTCGCTCCTTTTTTCTAGCTATTGTCCTTCTTATACACTGATGAGCAATTCCTGCCAGGATGTATGAGCTATCGCTGATGGTTGGCTTTAAACAGTCAGTGATATGTCGGCAGCTAGCATTAAGAGCGGTGTCAATTTCTTTGCATAGGCAGATCTTTCCCACACCGGATAGGCATATTCAGCTGTGGAATAGCAAAGAGCAAAGGCGCTGGAACGTAGTGTCTTTGGAATTGCACTACATTTTGTATTGGTGAGCTTGCTGAAGGTATTATTCCGGGTTCTTCCTTTGCCTTCATCTTTTCGATGTGACTTTTACAGTTTAGGCATTGTTCAAGGTGATTCCAAGATAGCCGGAAACTCACAGTGTGTAAGTATTGTTCCAGACCAAGTTACCTTGAGTTGGCGTTTGGCATCTCTCTTTCTGAGGTTGAATGCACATACTTGCATCTTTTTGATGGGTTCGCCGATGTTTACTTCATATGTATGCTGCTGACAACCGCTTCAAGGACTCGGTCAGAGTTTCTTCAACAGTATTGATATTAGTGCTTCTGGCAGTGACACCAGGTCATCAGCATAAATGAAGCGGCGGGTGACATCATCTAGTGATTGACATTGGTGTCGATGTTATACAGTAGAGATGCAAGGGCGATCCTTGGGGAAGACCGTTTTTTCTCTCCACCTGCAACCCTCGTAATTCAACAAAGAATCGGCAATTCTGAAGCATTCTTCAATTCAGTTAGGTGAATAACTTTCGTCATCTCTAGGATCTTACAAAGAAGGCGTCTTTGATTTACATTATCATAATCTGCTGACAGATCTACGAAAACAGCACCAATATCATCTTCGATTTGCTGGGTGAGGTTAAGCAATTGGCCTGTTGTTGATTTGCCAGGTCGGAACCCTGCCTCTTCTAGAATGATATATGCTCATCTATAGTAGCAGATTCATTTTAGGAGATCCCGTGACCATTTTCTTTCTACCTTTTTTTCTAGATGGATTTTGCATCTGGAACCATATCAGAAGAAAATTAGCTCCTATGTACCTTTGAAAAATGTCGGGAACAAAATCGCCGCTCACAGAATTTCGAAAATCATAAAAATTATATATCTATTCTCTGATCTCTGGCTCTAGATGAGCCACAGTGGTGGATTTGGTGTCCTTTCTAGTATATTTGGCATTACCAATACACTGGAAAGTTTACCTATACAATTCAAGATTTCTGCTTTCCTGGAATTCTGTCTCTGTGAGATAAATTATTTTAAAATTTTATTTTTCTGATGAAACCTCTCTTGGAATTCCTTGTTTTTACATAATTTATATTGAAATTCAATATTCCAAACTGAGACAACTATATAATAGTTCTGGTTGTCCTTCTAGCTTATGTAGAGCCTGAGATGATACATTTTTACGGTTTTTCAAGATGGCGGAGAGCAGCCGTCTTGAATTTTATAGGTCAGGATGGTTTTAAATGGTACATTAAGCAGTACAGTGTATTATTAATGCCAAATATATAATAATAAATAACCCCAAATCCATCACTGGCTTATCTAAAGCCAGAGATTATGGTTTTTATAATTTTCAAGATCGCGTCAGCGGCCATTTTTTCCCGACATTTTTCGGATTTTTTTAAGATCTGAGGAGTCTTTCCCAGTCTTCAGTAGTGCTATAACGTGTGCCTTCTGCCATATTTTAGGTAATGTGTTGCCAGGCAGTGATTATACACATCTAGAAGCCACTGTTTTGTTTGCTGTTTTAATGTTTAATCTGCTTAGTTGCATTGCTGTCTAAACCTATTGCTTTTCTATTTTTCAAATTAGATATACTATTTTCTAGCTCTTCCAAGGTGATAGGAATTGTAAATTCAGTGTCTTTGTTATACTTCTGTCATTTGCCACTGAGAAGCAGCTGGTGTGCAACTTGGTTAGTAGTTACAATAAAATGTTAGGAGGTCTTCTTTGGGTCACCTCCAAGTTTCCGAATAAGATACCATGAATTCTTACTATTTTTTGAAAGGTCATTTTTTTCAAATTAATGTTTTCCAGGTGTTCTGGTGTGTGCTTGAGAGACCTCAAACATCACCACATGCCGCCACTGGATACTGCCAAATATTTCAGGAGCTAGTAATAAGAAGTTAGCCGTCACCAAAACGAGTGAATGCAATGGTTAAGTGTCAGACAGTGGCTCATACCTGGTTCCGTGGTCGGTGGAAGTGGTTCGTGTGTCGATGGACGTGGTTCCGTTGTCGGTGGATGTGGTTCCTCTGTGGGTGGAGGTGGTGCCTCTGTCGATGGACGTGGTTCTTCTGTCGATGGCTTCTCTGTTGTTGGTTTGACGGTAGTTGAATTACATTCGAAATTCGGATCGACCTCAACTGAAAAGAAAATAAATAAAGATGTAAATAAGTTTTATATAATCGTGTAACATGACAGAGAACACAGATGTGCATATATAATCAGATACTCATATATAATATATGTGTGTAGGTTTGTTTAAATATATATATACTGTAGCATGCTGAGAGTATTTTTGCTAAATTTCTTGAAAAAATATATCCTATTTCATTTCATTATGGAAAAACAGACGGAAAGTATACGAGAAATATGCTATGTAATGTGACTAAGTTAGGCTGTAAGATTTTCAATACATGTCTCTCTACAATTAAAGATCACGTTACGGACGGGAATTTCCATGGCCTTTAGCATCTTCAGTCTCTAATTAGAATAATGAAGATACAAGCCATTTGTTAATATGTTACCACAGAAAAGTGGTCTTTAGTTGGATGACTTTAATTAGAGGGACACCTATATTTATCTATATAATGTTATCATTATGTTTGATTGTAAATACTTTATCCTAATTTCATTACAGTATTATCTTTACAATTTTATGTGGGCTCATTTCTTTTGGAGATAGGGCCATTAGATTGAATGTGCTCAAGCGATTTTTCGTAGGTATAATTTTACACGGCAACACGGTGAATTTTGGAATTACTTAATTTTATTAAGAATAGGTACAGGTAATAATAATAATTTCAGCATTATTTACCTTGGCCTAAGGCTTGTAATGAAGAACCTACAGATACTAGGCCTATAAATAATAACTAGCCCAAGGGGTATATCTTCCTGTCTCTTATACACATCTAGATGTGTATAAGAGACAGTATATATCCCTTGCCCAATTGATAACGTTTGCTGTAGAGTTGTTGTTGAACAAAGTTTTAATTCGATCCAAATTTTCGGTCCAAAAGTTTAATTCGTTGTCTTTACCTTGTTCGTTTTCCCTCAGTTTTCCCTTGTAAAACGACAAATTCTACTGACCCCTTCCGAATGATATGACCAAAAAAAAACAACAAAACAAAAACAAATTGCCGTTGCGTGATAACTGATAGCACTCCAACTCTCCTCGTAACTTCTAAGTTGGTCACACGAGCCAGGTACGATATACGCAAAATTCTTCTCAGGAACCGCATCTCTGCTGATTCGATGTTTTTTTTTTTTTCCTTATCTTTTTTTTTTTTTTTTAAATCAGATCGGATAACAGTGTCCACGTCTCACATACATATTTCAAAACATCGCTTGAGCAGTCTGAGTTTAATCTTCATATACAAGTTTTTGTTACTGATTAGTAGATAGTACATAAGAAAATTCTTTCAGCGACGTACTAGCTTTGAAATACCATTTTGAGGTAAAAATTTACATCTAAAATTCAGAGTGGCAACAGCTCAATATTTCATGAACCCGTACTATGGTGAATTTTAACATTGTTGCCAACGTGTGCCAAATGATGCCTCCGGATTTTTTTTTTTTTTTTTTTATTTTTAATTTTTTTTTTTTTGAGCACTTTTAATCAATGGCTACCCGTCAAGAGGAAAATAAATTTGACCAAGGCAACCTTAATTTACATTAGTAGAGTACGACCCATTCCTGGACCGGCTAAGTATACACTGTAGGGCTTGATACGCCAGCCCTTCGTTGACTGAGTTTCAGTCCCTAATTTTGTCTTAATCAGTTAAAACTATTAAAAATAATCTATTGTGGTTCAAATGACGTTCCATATTACTTATTTGCTTGGTGTTTCATACTCTATTTTATAGGGATATCCTAACGGTAGTTGCTACCCACCACTTCAGCCGAGTGGCGTGGATTATTATGGTGACGTCATGCATAATTATACCGTCTACCTTCTGAAAACCACATAAGGCCTATAGTACACCAATGTGACATTAGCGAGCAGACTGAGAGACGTGTTTGTACTGCTTGACCAGGTGACAGACGATCGGGTCCACGAGACGATTGTGTCCATTTGCAGACGATCAGGCCAAACTAGTGTGGACGATCTAGGCCTGTGCTAGGTAGGACCATGAGGCCTTTTCAGTCCAGCTGCTCCTTCTCGCTGTAGTTAGGCATCGTTTACGTTAAGCTAAGCCTATGTACAATCTATTTTAAGACCCTGGCCTCTAGGCCTAGGCTACTGAAGTATCCTGTACTGAATATTAATTATTATATTATAATAAATAACTTTACACAATACAAATTACAATACAGAAATGGGAAAGTTAATTATTCAGTTGAATGAAAATTATTAATTAAATTCCGTCAACCTTATCAGTTTTCCGGAATATGCCTAATAGACCTAGCCATATGACAGTTTTGTTTCAAAGCAGTGAAACCGCAATGAACTTATAAATCTATACTTCAGATTCATGTTGTAAAACTTGAAAGTTTAATTTATTAGGCCCATTGTCTCTTCCAGTAAAATAAATGTATGCGATTAAAATTGGAAAATTCATAGACTTATAATAACTATAGCCTATTGTAGAAGTAGGCCGTAGTAGTATTAGATCATTGATTGCGTTTATTTCTTTCTGTGATTACGACCTATCGCTACCTCTAAAATATAACTAATATTATGTATTGTTTCACTCTCTGTGTAGGCCCCATAATTTTGGAAAAAAAAATCTTACACAATTAGGAAAACTTAGACCTATCTTATATATTTGTTGTACAGTACTCAGTGTACTTTGCTATAGCCACTGTGACAAAGTGAAATTATGCTATTGGCTGGAGTAAAATTATACTATATTGTACGCCTATATAAGGTAGTTCTCGCCGCACGTTAACCATAATTTATTCATCTTGCGTTGCGGAGTACGTTGATTTCATGATTACGTCGTGTAGCGAAAACTACCTATATACACGACTACCGTTGGTTTAACTAACATTTTGGTACTTAGATACACGACAGCCGGGTATGCAGTACTTAAGATGCTCAGAAATAGAACTCACACTTATTTTGAAATTTATGTTTCTAAAATGTAATGAAATTTACATTATTTCCAAATTATGCTGCGTTATGCTAAGTTTTCATGAAATTATGCGTAGCATAATGGTATAATGCTACATGCTACGGGGGTCCAAATTATGCCAAAAAGCCTAATTATGATTAGGAATGAAAGATTAGGAATGAAAACGTATAATAGCGGAAATAATGCATGACGTCACCATAATAAGCCACACCCCCTCGGCTAAAGTCGTATTTAGCGACAACCTATCTTATCCAAATTCAACAAAATAACAAAACATAATGAAAACTTCGAGACATCTGCTGACTGAACAGTTTACTGCACACCTTAACACAGTAAATGAGTCAAAACCCCTGTTTCTTACAAAATCGACTAGGCCTATATAATTTGAATGGTTTCATTTGGCAATCTGGGGCGATCGGATTATAAAACTATATGTTTTAAGCTTTATAATCATCTATACTGTATATATTTACAATTAATGCAAAATTGAGTGATAATATTTCTTTTAGAGTTGACAATCTTATGCTTTTTGCATAGGAAAAGGTTGAAATTATAGTGTTTTTCCATTTTCCTGCTGCTTCTTCTTAACATAACTCTGCAACGACAGGTCGCTAAACTTCGGGGTGAACGGTCAAGTGTAGCTCATAAATTAAGCATTACTGACATGTAAGTCTCATGTTGGTTGGTTACATAACCAGTGATCATTTTGTCTTTAAAATTGTGTATTCAGGACCGTTTTACCTTCACTATCAATGACGTCACGCGCTTTAAACCATGGAATAGCTGCTACGGATTTTGAGTTTTCTGCGATTAGTGCGTTCATACATAAGATGTAGGTCAAATTTACCTGATTGAGCTTTTGTCGAAAGTAGGGGAAAAGTTTTCATTATGACATACGCTGGTGGCGCTCTTTGAAATTATTTAACACTTAGAAAATGCAATAAATTAGAGACTTGTAGCTGCAGTCTACGCCAGATACCAGTCGAAATACAAGATAAACCAGGCATACTATTTCTATTAAAGAGAACCTAGGGCTTTTCCTCATATAATGAGAATTGATGTTGAAATTATAAAGGAAAAAAAATCATTAAAAATTAAAGTAGAAAGTAAAAATATACATCAACCAGGAGCGGCGGCAGGATTTGCCCGATGGGGGGGGGGCGGGGACCGAGGTCCCCTGATAGGGGCCGATGCCCCGACGTGGCGTCAGATTTCCCCGACGAGGGGTCAGATTTCCCCGACGAAGCAAAGTTAGCGTGGTCGAGCTTCGTTTAAACGGTTTCAAAAGTGGTCTTGGGGACCAAACATTTTGACAATTTAAGGGTTTCAAAGGCTTATTTTTAATCACGATTACGACACGACAACGACATATCATCGCGTAGTTTGTATTCTTTAACACTGCGCGCGTCTGTATCGTGTCGTTGTCGTGTCATAATCGTGTCTAGTGTAAATGAGGCTTTAGGATCTATATTTAGTTAATTTAGAGATAAAGGGCAAAATATCTTCATGTATTTTACGGTAATTTTGGTTTAACCTAACTGAAACAAGTTTTGAAACCCTTTAGAAAACACAAAATGCATTAACTTGGGCATGGTCTTTGCTTAGACAAAGTTTCAAGAGGATCCAAGCAAAGATAGTGCCGGACTGAAAAATCCTGTGAAGAAAGATAGGAGAGCAGGAGAGAAGAAGAAGAAAAAAAAATAAACAAAAAAAAAACAGTGGCTTTTTCTGCTAACGCAGAGAAATCCAATTTATACATACCGCACAAACCACACATAAGTGGACAATTTTCTGGGACATACGGGTGTTCATCATCGCACCAATTTGGGTACCACCCTGCACCACAATACATATGGTAGTTACCGCATTCCCCTATAAAAAAAAATGTACACGTAAAGATAGTATTATAGTGACAATGATGATTACAACAGCAACAAGAACAATATTTCAATCACAAAGTATTCAATATGCCGCTATAACTATGGAAAACATGCCCATCTTTTGCATGTCTTCAACAATGACTTATCTGCAAGACAAAATCAAGACCGAACTTATAACTTCATTAGTAGCATACAATCCATACTATATTTCACTGAGTTAAACTGTAGAAATAAGATGAAAATATGTCAAAGTATAATTTTAAGAAAGGAAAGAAAACAAAGAATTATTCCGTAGTTGTCGTTTATTATTTTACTCCATTTTTTTTATTTGAAATGGTTTGAAGAATTGTTTATATTATTGCTTATACTATTTTGATATAATAAAAAACTTTTTGTCCATGAAAGAAACAAAAAAAAAGACAATGATGATGATAATGATGAAAAATCAATAAAGCAAATATCCGAATCATACGTCAACCGACATAAACCGATGTTGTGTGTGTATTTGATTATGTCGGTTAAACTTGATACGGATGCGCAGTTAAAACTACCAATTCACCTATTCAAAAAATGTACAACAAACATGAAAATTGAAAAAAATAAATAAATAAACTAATAGTCCCTATAAGATAAGATAAACACATTTATGATATTTAAAATGGTGGAGTATATTTTATGAAAGGGAGATTTAGTGTGAAAGGTTTACCATTTAAGTGTCATATAAATAAAAATTAGGGATGAAAGATTTACGGAAACGTGACATTTTAGTCGGGAAGGTCTAAGTTTACCTAATACATTTTTAGTGAATTCAGAATTTAAAAGGCTGTTGAGGTTATTTCTTATTTATTTCAAAAATTGGCAAAAAAATTGCATTCATATAGATTGTCAAGTTAACATTAAATTACTTGCAGCTTTCGTAACAAACACATATTATATGTACTTCACTTATGGGTATATTGCGCCCTCAATAACGGCGAAGTATGCAGAACAGAGATCAGAACAGAGATCTTAAGATGTAATAAGATCTTCGATGCAACAATATCGCGATCAAAAACTGAACAATAATATTGATAATAACATTATTAATTATTATCGCCATTATTGTCAAAGGTTGATACTGTATAATAACAACACCTTAAATTTGATCAAGAGTATGGTGAATCTACTCACTTGAACAGTCGACTCCTATAAATCCGTCCTGGCATTCACAAGTACAATCGTCAGTTACTGTTCCGCAATTCTGGCAGATTGCTTCGCATACTGTGAAAAATATTATTGTAACTTTTAAATAAAAATGAATAAATATTAACTAATAAGCAGTAGAGTTGGCGGCTAGCAATATAATAATAATAATAATAATAATAATAATAATAATAATAATAATATTAATAATGCTGATCATTTATATAGACCCTTTGTCCTTATTTTAATTACAGTGTGCTCTCAGTTGTTTTGACTGCTGACATTTTATTTATTTCGCTCTCTTGTTTGTCTCCGCCATTTCTTTAAGTGCTACCGACAGTTTATAAGGTAATCACTTCTCAATTACTAATTGCGTGCCTATTATCTTACTATTATCTTTATTCATTTATTTATAGGGCTACATTTGTTGAGAGCTATGCTACACGATGTATT